AAGGTGGACGTAAACCTCTCGCCAAACAGGAAGCGAACATCAACATGAACACCCCACAACTAGCCCCGTCGTGCTGCGGAGGGACACCTTTCACGCTGACCACGCGAGCGAAGTGGTCGAAAGTGCGACCATCACCGGCGGCACCTGCCACCGTGTTCAAAAATTTAACAGTTTTATCTAAAAGTGCGGAGTAGAAGGAATCTTTGGATGACAACACGAGAAAGAATCATAGATTTCCAAAACACGTCTAGAGAAGTCAATGGCCAAAAGGCTCCAGTGTTCGCCGTCCTTGTGCACTGGTGCCAAGACGAGATCATGAGACAAGAGGTCGACATCTTTAGCCCATCTGCTAATAGCTGTCGGACCTCGCAGAAGCAGTGTAGAGGCAAAGAAAGAGTTAAAGGTGTACGTCTTCTTGGTACCAGCAGTCCGTCCGCAGTCGTCCAGTAGTATCGCCATGTAGAAATTGACGACCTCATCGTTGAGCTCCCCGGATCCATCCACGAGTGCGACGRTGTCCTTGACGGATACCTGTAAATTGTGCGACGGCAAACGCGATACGATGATAGTGAGCGGCAACCGGGAGCAGATAATGTCTTCAAGGACTGCTCTTCCATCTCAAGGAAACCCTGTTCAACAAACRCCCGTAGCACACAACAAGCACAAAGGATGGGGCACTATGAGAAAATGCCGTCCTAGCGGYCATGGTCCGTCGAACCGCTACTATGAGGCCCAAAAAGTTCACGCATAACGTCACCCCTACTTCTGGACCTTCCACACACAGTTGATTCTAAACTAGCACTGTCCTTCTTTATATCCCTGCAAGCCTCGAGAAGGAATTCCTTGCAGTCTTTTTCGACAACACCCGTTGCCTCTGCAACGAGTCTAGCGCRAGGGCCCAATACGGGCACGACTACCCTTCTGGGAGGGCTCCGAGGTTTAGTGTCCYCAGGAAAGGAATCAGTGACATTGCGACGACCAGTGCCTCCCGCAACCAGGACTGACAACCTGGCGAGGGAAGGCGGCTCCTGCGACATGTGTGTTTRTCCACGAGTTCGTCGACCTGTACAAGAAATAGCCACCCAGAGAGTTCAGCAGGAGATCAACAACACAACTTCGCAAGAGCAACCAAGCAAACAACACCTCACGAAGCACATCGTCACAATCCAGTTGGCGGCCGCCTACACACCTCCCCGAAATCGACGAAGCAAACAACACTTCACGAACGGGTTGACCAGCGGGAAGCAAGCAGAGAAAGTCAGTGCTTACCAGGCTTAGCTTCCACGTCACCAGAGCCCACCGATGGCAGTCTCAGCAGGATGGGCGCCCGTGTGCGCGTCGACGTGGCGACGACGTGCTCCAAACCCACAGGGAAACTTGACAGGTTCGAGATTTCGGCGTCGATGACCGGAGACGACATAAACTCGTCCCCATCCCGATGGCGGAAATCCTCCACGTCCCCGATGGGCAATTTGTCAGTCTCCGGACAAAGAGCGTCGACGTCCACAACATCGACAGGTTGGGTTTTCTCCATCGCCACTGTGTCGTATTGTGTTGTGCTCAAGGTCCCATGGATGTCCAATAACACCTCTCCCCCCCTCAACTTCTTGTCCTCGTGCGCTGTGTCCTTATYGTTGTCACTCAAATAGAGAAATTTATCTCCAACAGCATCAGAGGACTTCTTCAGAACGTCCTCTCCTATCACGTCGTCGTGAAGGCTGGAGTACAAGGGGTCGTCGTATGCCGGCTAAACTGGTTGCTCCATCCCGACGTCGCTGAGTGTCGGATCAATCCGGTCGTCGGCGGAATCGTCCTTGTCCAAAGTCGTCAGAAGTCGACAACCCTCAACGCCTGCCAGTTGAAGTCCTTCGTTTGTGTGTCTCAGATGAATCCGAATTACGGTCGTCTCCAAAGTTGCATCAGGGAGGGACATGCTCACAGGGCCCTGGTTTGGGTTCATCCGAGCCCCCGCAGTTTCGAATGGCGCCGACGTGTGCGATTTCACCGGAGAGTCGCTTAAGACTGCTAACTCAGCGCTTACCGTCACCAGGCATTCGGCTCCGAGTGTGMGGGGCTCGACATTGAAACTGGTCGCTAACTCACCCTCGGTCGGACAGTCTGTCTGCAACTCCTTGTGGACTTCCATGCACAGCATTTCGGCGTCCTGACACCGATCGTCTGTCATGGCAGACACGTCCTCCTGGTTCGGATGAATCTGAATTTCGGCGCCAGGGTTTTTGGAAACCTGGACCACCCGTTCCAGTTCCGTAGACCGCTGCGCTCTCTTAACGGTACTGGCTTCCCGGTTCGGATTAATCTGAACTTCCTTTTGATGCGAAACTGAACATGGTTCGAGCTTGTCGCTGCTGGATCAGTGGTATGTTGTCGTCTCGCTTCCCGGAAGGCACTGAGTTCCGGACGACGATGTCGTCTCCGAGGTTCGGATTGATCCGAGACAATCCGCCAACCGTTTTTGGAGTTGAGCAAAGCAAGTTCCATTCTTTGCTACAACTGCCCCGCCAACAGCATCGGTAAACTGTGTTGCGCTGGTGGAGCTAATCACARGGTCTAGCTCGCCAGGCCGCGTAATCCACCCAGGCCTGAATTCGTTCCCCGTCTCCATTGAGGTGCTGCCTGTTACCGCCAGAACCCCACCGTCCTTGT